GGGATTTTGGGGTCCCCGGGGGATTTTGGGGGTCCCGAGGGTTTTTTGGGGGTCCCGAGGGGTTTTGGGGGGATTTGGGGGTCTTGGGGTGTCCTTGACCCCCCATTTTGGGGGTCTTTGTCCCCCAAATTTTGGGGGTCCCCACCTCTCCTTGCCCCTCCCCCATGGCTGTATTTGGCCCCCACGCCCCCTCCTCCCCATTTTGGGGGTCCCGTTTTTGGGGGGGGGGTCCCCACGCCCCCCCATTTTGGGGGTCCCCCGGGGGGGTCTGGGGGGGCCGCGGGCGGCTCGGGGGGGGGGGGGGCGGATTTTGGGGTGAAACCGCCCGGAAATGGCGCCGAGATTAAAAAAACTGCAACGTCAGCAGGACTGCGGTTTTTGGGGAGGGGGCGGCGGGGATGGGGGAGGGGGAGGGTGGGAAAGGGGTGAGGACCCCTCCCCAAAATCACACCGGGACCCCTCCCCAAAATGGGGTTTGGGAACCCAAATTGGGATTGGGACCCCTCCCCAAAATCACACGCGGTCCCCTCCCCAAAATGGAGGTAGGGATCCCAAATTGGGATTGGGACCCCTCCCCAAAATCACACGGAGACCCCTCCCAAAAATGGGGTTTGGGAACCCAAATTGGATTTGGGACCCCTCCCCAAATGGGGTTTGGGACCCTGAATGGGGTTTGGGACCCCTCCCCAAAATCACACCGGGACCCCTCACAAAATGGAGGTTGGGATCCCAAATTGGGATTGGGACCCCTCCCCAAATTGGATTTGGGACCCCTCCCCAAGATCACACAGGGACCCCTCACAAAATGGGGTTTGGGACCCCAAATGGGGTTTGGGACCCCTCCCCAAATGGGGTTTGGGACCCCAAATGGGGTTTGGGACCCCTCCCCAAAATCACACCGGGACCCCTCACAAAATGGAGGTTGGGATCCCAAATTGGGTTTGGGACCCCTCCCCAAATTGGATTTGGGACCCCTCCCCAAAATCACACCGGGACCCCTCACAAAATGGGGTTTGGGATCCCAAATTGGGATTGGGACCCCTCCCCAAATGGGGTTTGGGACCCCGAATGGGGTTTGGGACCCCTCCCCAAAATGGGTTCTGGACCCCTCCCCAAATGGGGTTTGAGTTCCCAAAATGGGTTTGGGACCCCTCCCCAAAATCACCTGGAGACCCCTCTCCAAAATCAAACGGGAACCCCTCCCCAAATGGGGTTTGGGACTTCGAATGGGGTTTGGAACCCCTCCCCAAAATCACACCGGGACCCCTCCCCAAAATGGGGTTTGGGAACCCAAATTGGGTTTGGGACCCCTCCCCAAATTGGATTTGGGACGCCGAATAGGGTTCGGGACCCCTCCCCAAAATCACACGGGAAACCCTCCCCAAAATGGGGTTCGGGACCCCAAATTGGGGTGCGGACCCCTCCCCAAAATCACACGCGGACCCCCTTTGGCCACGCCCCTTTACTCGTTGACCACGCCCATCCCCGCATGGCCACGCCCCTTTACTCGTCGACCACGCCCATCCCCGCTTGGCCACGCCCCTTTAGTCGTTGACCACGCCCATCCCCGCTTGACCACGCCCCTTTGCGCTCAGCCCCTCCCCACTGGCCACGCCCCTTTGCGCTCAGGACACGCCCCTTTACTCACCGGCCACGCCCCTTCTCTTTGACCACGCCCCTTTGGGCTCCCTCCCCGCTGGCCACGCCCCCACGCGCCGTCCCGGCTCCTGATTGGCTGCGCCGCGCGGGCCCGGGCGCGCCCATTGCCCGCGGCGGGCGGGGGGGGAGGGGGGGGAGCGGCCCCGCCCTTTCCTGCCCCCCCGCCTCCCATTGGTCCGGGCGGGGAGGGGCGGCGGCGCTGATTGGTCCGGGCGCGGTTTGGCCACGCCCTCCCGGAAGTGCCGCTCCGCTCCGGCTGCAGCGCCCGGCGGGTGAGGGGGGAAACCGGGACCGGAACCGGGAACGGGA